TCTTTTAATCTGCAATGGTCTACCAGGAGCTATCGAAAAAACATCAGACCTATCATTGTCAATACCATTCTTGTGCTGACAGACTTAAGGAATTTTTTAGATACTTGTATTATAAAATTTCAATCGAATTATTTGTAATTTACGGAGCTTCCGCAAAAAGATTTTATTTAAAGTATATTAAAATGTTAATTTATCAGCAAGTGTGTTGATCGTATATACCAAATTGAATATTATTCTTATTAAGTATTCAATTGTTCTGATGTTCTAATATCATTAAACCAGATATTTTTCCGAAATAAAAAGTTCGAAGTATACAACAATAACTGTAGACAACTATAGTAACTCGATATCAACTGTATATGATAATAGTTATCGATATTTTTTTAGGCTTTTTATATATATATATGAATATAGCATATTACGATTTTCAAAATAAAAAACAATTCGTAGTTTTTTTTCTTTCTTTTGCTTTTCGATACTTTTTCAGGCATCAATATGCTTTACTTTTATTTTGTGTGCAAGACTCCATGTGTGCGAGGCACTGAAACATATCATTTCGTGCATATACTTCGTCATGGGCATCTTCCTGCGCGCATCTTGTGTAGACCTGGTGGTAATACAGTATGTAGGAAGAAAAAAAAGAAAAAAAATTGTGAAAAATAACAAAGGGTAAGAAATGAATAAAGTTACCTTGTTGTAAAGGTAAAAAATCAAATCATTGGACAAAATAAGCAAGTAGTGTCACATAAACGACACCAAGCCTCATCGACAGGTTCGCAACACAACATTTTCTTTATATATTAGAACTTGTTTATTTCGTTGTGGTGAGTAACTTGTTAGAATATTCCCAAAATCAGAAACAAGTTTATTAAATAATGCACAAATAGTGCCAATATAATGTGCGCATTAAACAGAATTGAGACAAACATGATATTAATTCGAATGATCGACTTTTATTTTGAATGATCGATTAACAAATGTTTGTTAGTTAGCAGACTCCTTGATTCACTTTGCTGTTTTGATCTCACGCTTTTTTTTATTTTAATTAGCATCAATTCATTGATGATAAACATATATATTACATAATTAGTTTGCTTGCTCTTTCCCAATACTATCCATCATGTTTAATTAATCAATAAACGAGAGTTTAGCTATAAGCACAATTTAATTAATTGTTCATAACACAAGGTATAAAGAAGTGCTACTGACACTGCAGTAAAATCTTCATGTAGATGATGATACAGATGAAAAGCTTCGTGTCTTACAGCACTCTATCTCAGAGTCAGCCTGATACGTTCTGGGTCACACAACGATTAAAAAACACGGAGACTGAAAACCTTTGGACAAGATCATAAGATATCAACGCGGAAGGTGTGAATGATACTGGCAAGTAAAAGAATAAGACTGGAAACATTCATGTAATCAGGAAGGTTGAATGGGCTCATCTTGGGGAATAAAATCGTTTTGCTTGCGTAAATTCTCTTTAGATGTACCTCATCAAAAGGAATATCTTCCTGAGGAGGTAATTCGTGTCCTCTAGTAATGTTTCTCAGTAGGACATACATTTTCTTTCGTGAAAGTCCAAAACAAGTGCGTTTGATTCTCATATTAATGACACACACTTTTGCAGAATTGTGATTTCGTTCTTTCTAATTTTCTAGATGTCTACAGCTAGTTTACCTTCTATGGATCCTCTCGCCAACGACAATGATACCAATCTTGAAACATTCAGCCTTATTTGGCTTGACACAAATGTCCACGCTGAAGAGAATCAATATACGCAACAAAAGTTGCGTTCTATCATCAATCATCTCCGGATATTTCAAGATGGGGAAGAATGTAAGAAATACATAGACCAAAGACAAAAACATGATCGACTAGTGCTCATTGTTGGCAGTCAGTTTGCTCAACAAGTGGTACCTTCGATTCATAAACTACGACAAGTTTCAGCAATCTATGTAATTTCCATAGACAAGAAAAGCGATGAAAAATGGACAAGCGAGTTCCCCAAAGTAAGATTGTTCTGAAAGGTATCAGTCATTTTATTCCACTGATTTAGGTGAAGGCCATTGTTACTGAATCGGAAGAATTGGTTTCTCAAATTGAAACAGATCATAAGAAACAGATGAAGATGCAAGAACCACTGTCGATCAACATGTTCGCTGCAAGTGGCGATGCAGGGAAGTCTACAATTGGAATCAATAATCAATTCATTTTCTCGGAATTACTTATTGATTGCCTTCTCCGATTGAAATCTAACGAGACAGACAAAGAGGAGCTCATTTCTTGTTGTGAGAATGAATACAAAGGTAACCGTGTAGAACTCGCCAATTTACATGAATTCCAAAAAGATTACACATCTGACAATGCTGTGTGTTGGTACACTCGTGAGTCGTTCTTCTACAAGACTCTGAATGCTGCTCTACGCAAGCAAAATATTNCTTGATCAGGATTAATAGATTTAGCTGATGTGGGTGAGGGTGTGGATGTGGATGTAAGTGTAGATCCATTGAAGAAAACAGCTTTAATAGATACGATCCAGGCACACAGACGCCCGCACCCATACGTACACCCACCCCCTTAATTTTGTAGCTTGAGGGTGTGCTCTATCGGATGCACGATCTAAATTTCTGGGATGAACTAACCTTAAAAGTTTTTTTTCTCAAGATACTGACTTTTGCTTGACGATCATGCTTCAGTATTTTGATGAAAAGTCTTATTTGAATATTTAATTTAACTCTGTTGTATACCTAGTTTTGTAGAGCGTTTGATACGATATTGAATGGTGTATAATTGTTGGAAAATAGGTTATATTTTGACGGAGATATGAGGATCACACTAAAAAGTAGCGATTTTGACTAAATCACTGAGTAATCGTCAGCGTAGTTCTCATAACTTTGTTGTTATACAATTAATCGAGCTAATATTTTGGATTAAGTAGTTTCACCTCATGGGCTATCGATTCCACTAATAAAATGAGGAGATGAAAATTTTCGGTAGTATGGATTTTCTCAATCCTATGGCGGACACTCTCAATCAACAAGGTTCTTCTATTGTACGACGACGATCTACATTAGATTGATCAAATTTTTGATTTTCTCAAGGCTTTCTATCAAATTCAATATATCTAGATACACCTGCTGTTGGTTCATCTAAAATAACCGTTGTAGAATTTTTGATAAATGCAATAGCAATCGAAAGTTTTCTTTTCGTTCCACCAGATAATTCAATTGAATAATTTTTTATTTATTTTCTAATCCTAAATCTTCAAGCATTTTCTTTGTGGCAACTTTATTTCGATAAATTTTGTATATCAACACCAATACCTGCTTGATAAATATTATCATCATCAGTATCAACTACAAAAATAAAAAATATGAATTTTTCATCGAACATTTTATTATTACTATTCGTATTTGTATCGATTTTATATTGATTTATTTCATTTGTACGTTGACAATTTTTTCTTTTCCATCATAACCAAATCAATACGTTTTTGTAAATGGATAATACCATGGTTGAGAAATACCATATTCACCTAAAAAAGAATAGAGTAGAAAACTTTAATCAGATTTTGTTTCCTTTTCTTTTTTAATTTTACGGGAAATATATTTTCAATGTCAATAGTTAATAACATATAAAGAATGAAATCGACAATCATCATAATCATACAATAGAGAAATGTGAAATTATCATTAGATTGTGCACCTTTATTTATATTGTCCCATTCAATACCTTAAACCATACCTTCAAATCAAGCTATTTAATCACAACTAAATACAAATGCAACTGTTGATGATAGACACTAGAAATAAAATTAGTATTTAACTTAATTTCTTTCCACAGTTACAAATTTTTGCAGGAATAATTTTATGACACTTTAATGTTCGATCTCTAAAATTAATTAAAAGTACATAAGGTAAATAAAGAACAAAATAAATACTTCCGGCATCTAAAATAAACATGAAAATCTATATTTAAAATATTGTAAAATATATACCACAAGCAGCTAAATTAATTCGATTTAAAAATATATGCATTGATTGTTGCAAATGTATAACAAACAAAGAGAATAAATAATACAAGAAAATTCGAAAATTGAGTTATTTTTCCAAACTAAATAAGAAAATAGAATAATATAAGTATGATTACATATTTCTTTTTTATTTTAATCATATTCAATAGATAAATAATTATTAGGATACTACAATTAAACAGGAGTTTTACTTCTATACAAGTAAATAATAATGGTTTTAAGTCTTTCACGGATAGATAAAGACTTTTATTCGACAGTTACAATAATAACTGTAAGTCAAGGCTTCGTGTGGATTAGAACGATCTTATCGCATGTCGCCACTATTGGCACAAAAGATAAATAACGAGTAATCAAAAAGTAATTAAACAAAATACTAACTGTGAAATTAAAAATAATAACCGATCTGACTCATTAAAATTGATCAGGGCGGGTATTTTACTTGTGAAATGTTGTTAATAAATGATAGTCTTGAAGAAGTTGTTGTATTCATGATCTTATCTTGCTGCTTCGATTTAATAAGTAACTTAACTTATCTCTCATACTGATTTACGGATAAAAAATTGTCCGACTATATTCAATTCGTGATCACTACGTTAACAAACTTTTTACACTGTTCTAATAAATGAATGGAGTTATTATGGAGTTCGATCGTGTAGAAATTCTTTTTATTAAAGAAATATACTTTAAATAATACCATTCTTCACTCAGCCGGACAATAAAATAGTGGCCCGATTCCAAGGTCTGATTGACATTCATAAGAGTTATAAAAGTCAGTTGTTTTGATGATGTTCTTTGCTACTGATATATTTGAAATATAGTTTAACTACTATCAATGTGTTTTCAAATAAACGTTTTTTAAAATAGATTTAAAGAATCAAGAGAATTTTATTTTTATTATTGCATATTTCGATAAACTAAATTCAGATAATATACTTCAATGATATATTTAAAAAGAAAATTAACTTTAAAAACAAAAGAAATATATATATATCAGAATTAAAATAAGAATAGCATTAAGTTGAAAGCTAAAATAAAAACGTCGAGGTTTGCGTCCTGTTTCAGCAATTATTTTTCGTTCATCATGTAAACCTTTAAGACGTTCAGGACGATATATTCCAAAATATTCTGATATCCAATTATTAGTTCTATGTAATGCTAAACCCATATCATTCAAATAAGTATCCAGTGGTGCTGCCCAATAATATCTATAGTCATATTCAGTTCGATTAAATATTTTTCTAATAAATGCCTGACGTGTTTTTATTTCTTCATGCATTTTTTCTTCTGAATCTGGTAATTTGAGTCGTTTGAGAAAATAATCTGATATCCAATGACTTGATACTTCATTAATCATCCAATAACCTACAGATCCTGTAAAACCAATAAATGCTATATTAGGTATTCTAACAGGTATAACTTGACGATAAAGATTAAGTACAACATCTCCATTGTGTGCTGTTAAACCCATCATTTGAGCATGTTTTTCAGAAAAAAAAGGAAAACGTCGAATATATCCTGTTGCTGATATAATCATATCAGCTTCTAATTTTTCTCCTGAATTTAATCGAACAGTTGTTTCATCAATAATTTCATCAATTGTGCCTAATTTTCCAATAATACGACCTTCACGTTTAAGTCGTATAAAACCATTTGGTATAACTGAAATATTTTCTAAATTTTGATATGGATGTTGAGGAATAAATATTTTATCATTGAATAGATCAGGTCCATGAGTAGACATTATATCACTTGATATACCATTGGCCATAGTTGTAAATATTTTTGGAAATTTTTCATGAAGAAAACGAAATAAACAACCATATGGTGCACCAGGAACTAGACTAAATGGAATAGAAAATGCACGAGTAAATAAAACTTGTACTGGTAATAAACCACTCATGATTCTTCTTGGAATCATCCAATGAGCTTTTCGAAAAACTAAATAACACGAACGAGCATAATGGCCAGCTAAAACTGCCATATCTGTTGCACATTTACCACAGCCAACTATTATTACACGTTTGTTTACTAATTGTTTACATGATTTAATATCAGATGGAGATAAAATTGAACCAGCAAAATGACTTTGACCACGGAATATTGGTGTATATGGTTCTGAAAAGAGACCAGTAGCTACAATAACAAAATCAAATTCATATGTTTCTTTTTTGCCATTAATTGTTTCAGTTTGAATAGCCCAAGAAATATTATCATTCCTTAAATCATCTTTCGAAATTGATATAACTCGAGTTTGAAATCGAATTCGTTCCGTAATATGAAATAGATCAGCATATTTTTGTAAATAGTCATGAACGTGTTGCCAAGAAGAAAATTCTTAAATTAAAAATATACAAAATCTAATTGTAAGAAAAACATAGATTTTACCTTCTCCATCAAATATATCAGAAAATTCCATTAATCCTCCTGGTTGTTGAGTATGTAAATCGGCATATGCTAATTTTGAAGACCAGATACCACCTAATTCTTCTTGTCGATCAAAAAGAATTACATCGAAACCATCATCCAACAATATTTTAGCACATATCAAGCCACTAGAACCAGCACCAATAATAGCTACTGTTTTCGATCTCGCCATAGTTTTTTTTTTTTTTTATTATATTAAACTATTACATAAACAGTTTTTGTTTACATCAAACTATGCAATCAATCAAGCATGTATTAATGTTATATATATATTAGTGAATATAAATATACCTTCTTCACCATAACAGAAAGAAAAAGTATGCTGAAATTATGCACTACGGTCGAATGCACAAATATAAGTCAGTATATATGAGGTCTTATGATAAAAAAATAAAGTCAAGCACGCAATAGATGTGTCATGATAATGAGTAAGCAAAGAAAAATAAGATTCTATTGTGATTAAATATACAATATTGGATGCTATCACTCTCACTCAATTATGTAGAATGAATGATATCGTAATCATATGTGCGTAAGCGTTTTTGATCATTAAGTGTTCTATGGAGCACAAAAAAAAATATTTGAAGATTAGTAAAAATATATATTCTTAAGTAACAAGAAGATTATTAGAAAAATTGGTTTATTTGAAGAAAGGTTACAGTTCATATTGATTTATAATATAAATCGAATGGCTCATAAAGAATTACACTGTTAGTATTTTTGAAATTTCTCATTTATTATCCTTTTGATTTAAATAATTTTTCTTATCAAAAGATACTGCTTGAACTTCTATGCACTAAATGGTATAGTTTATTTAACGAATATAATCTCTTTCAGTTGTTTTAATTAAACGTAATCATACATTAAGATTAAGTACAATTAATTTTGATTGATAGAACGTTTATGCAATATGTAGAACGATCAAGTGTAGACCTGTGAACAGTGAAAAAGAAGACAAAGTTCCCAGTAAAAGTAATGGTGTACTTAGATGTATTTGGGCAAGAGCAACATCCGACAACAAAATGTTACAAAAAACAAATGGTCATATCAGCAAGCTGATGCAACATTTAGCACACATAATCTGAGTCAAAAATGGTATACTGATTGTTTTGTTGCATTCATCCTGAAGTCTCGTTGAACACTAAATTCACCTGATTTATATCCGTTAGATTTCAGTTTATGGAATGTTTTGGCCGAAGCTATGAATTACGACTACATAACAATAAAGGCAACACTGTTAGAAGAAATAAAACGTTCTGTTAATCAAAATTTCAAAAAGAAAAAAATTTAAAACTTTTGTACTTAAAATTGTAATATTCAATTATATTTAATCAAAAAAATGAAGAAGACTATATTCGTTAAATAAACTATATCATTCTATCTTTTGATTTAAAGAAGTGTTTCAATCAATTAGGTAATCAAAGAGAGATTTCGAAATTCTTTATGAGTCAACATCTAATATAATAATTTTTGATTATATAAATTTAAACTACTAAACTGTTTGTTTTTCAAAGTAATTTCAATAAAAAGAAAATCTAAATAATTCATTTAGAAAAATTTTGAAGACCAAAAATGATCATTTCTTTTCTTCCGAAGTCTATCTAAGATTATAACATAATCGATTAGTCCAATAGCTTCAATTGATCGATATATATATATGTTATTTGTTTATTCATGTCTGATGATAAATATATATAGACTTCAAACAATGATCGGAAATACTCATTATTAATAAGCCATCAAACTACCTCTCTTTAATCGTTTCTAATTGGACGAGAACTCGCTTTCTTTTTTTCAACAAAAAATTAAGCCTGTTTCGTTCTCTTTCTTTCGTTTTTCTTTTTTTTTTGTTTGAGCTATGTAAACAATAAATCAATCAAAACCATTCCTTTCTCTCTCTCACTGATTTAACTATTATAATACATCCAATCGTGAACAACAATAACGATTGAAAGAAAAAAACTTTTATGTTCTCTCTTACTCTCTACCAATCATTGACCATACACAATTGATACGAAGCCAATTGTATCTCTTTCTCTGTTTCAGTACGATCAGATTAATACACATTCGTTTGATCGACGATAATGACAGATAATATTAAACATAGTGAAGAGATTAACTGGAAAAACAAAACTTATTCACATTATCATTATCATTCAATGGATATTCATACTCATCAATCAAGTGATAGTCCCAACAAAGAAATCAATATGTTAGGATTTGAAAATATTGAAAAAGAAGAAAGTGATAGTTTAAGTGGTTACAGTGATGAAGAAAATCATAAACGAAAACAACGACGTTATAGGTAAAATAAAATTAATTATTATAATAAAAATTAAATTTTTCTTATTGAAATTTTTCAGAACAACATTTACTTCATTTCAATTAGAAGAATTAGAAAAAGCATTTCAACGTACACATTATCCAGATGTTTTTATGAGGTAAATTCTTCAAAATATCTTATCAAACATAGACAACAGAATACATTTGAATGTAGAGTAGATTCAACAATCTTCTTTAGATCTCTACTGAGAAGTTAAGAATAGAGGTGATAAGGCAAATCATTTTATGTCATTCAAATGAAATACTCTTAGTGCTTTATATATCCAACTCATATTTTAAATTGTATAAAATTGGTAAAATTCAGAAATATTTACAACTTATATCAAAAGATGCGTATTTTAAAGAAACATACCAACATTTTTTTAATTTAAATTCAACTATTGAAAAAACGAATTTTTACTAATAAGCAGAATAATGGTGAAGTAGTAGTCGGTACAAAAAAAAAATAAGAAATTCCATTATGGATTTGCTCACTTTGTCAAAAATGTCTTTTAGACATGTAAGCTGAACTAACATATAGGAGAAGAAAGTTTTTAGTTTATCTAACTCGAGTTTTCAGTGCAATTCTTCTCCATTTGTTACAAAGAAGTATTATTTCTCAAATGATTAACAATATAGACCCAAAAATTTAATCCTACAAAATTGAATGTTTCCTTAAGAACATTTTCTAAATCTACTAACAAGGGAACCTTCCCAGGTTTCAGATCAAAATTCAAAAATATAGCTTTGCTGCAAAAGTGGGGTGCTATAGAAAAAAAAAACACTAAAAACTCGATATCTCTTCAGAAACAAACCAGGGGGACGAACTTTTTTAACCATAGACATAGCTCACTATGGGCTACAAGATGCGCAAAACCCNAGGCCTTTATGTGGGCCAGGTTTCAGATCAAAATTCAAAAATATAGCTTTGCTGCAAAAGTGGGGTGCTATAGAAAAAAGACACTAAAAACTCGATATCTCGTCAGAAACAAGCCAGGGGGACGAACTTTTTTTACCATAGACATAGCTCACTATGGGCTACAAGATGCGCAAAACTCCGACTGAAAAGCGCTCTGGCACCTGGGAAAGTTCCCTTGTAAGTATAAATCTATCAATCTGATGGAACGAGAAACAAATGTTTCAGTCTACAATATCTGAATTTAAGGTAGACTTCTGTATTATCAAATAACATAATAAATATACACATTAATCTTATGTTTCGTTGCTAAAAGATAAGCTCTACTACTTTTTTATGATTAACATTTTGAATCACAATGAAAAGTTTGATATGAATCATTATTTTTTTTTCTCAAACAATACTGTTGAACATAATTCATTTTCATGTGTTGATTAACAATTATATGACCTGTACAATAAGAAGTACTTAGTATTAAGAGCTTCATGCATTTCTCATATGTATTTCTATGTAATGATGTTTATCTTTTCTTTCTTTTTTTTTATAAATCAATGATTTAACAACGACTTATGTCAACACACAGTAGGAAAATTATTGTGATATACACTTATCACACGAAGAAGCGAACTATTATTAAGGTGATAAATTTATGATTGTTTGATGAGTTTGTTTTGAGAAAGAACTCTTTTGCACATTATTGTGACAAAACGAATAGAATAGAAAAGATAAATCAGTTGTTATTTATTTGATTGAAAATTATGTTTTTCACACTATTCTATTTTTTTAAATACCAGATTATCGATTTAGTTATTATTTATTGCCGTAGGCATGAGTAAATGTTTCTATACAAAGTGATTATTAATAGATGTTTAATATCTCAACATAGTAGATAATATCTTGATTTGAATATACATACGTATATCGTTTAATGATGAATCTTTATAGATGATTGTTTTGATATATTTTAGAGGATTAAAATAAAATATTTCATTTAAAACTTTCGAGCTAGTCAAACTTGATCAATTATAAGTATTTTATTTGAATAATTAATTGTATCTCGGTTAAAACGATCATAAAATGATAATGTTTTAATCTTGAAAGATTTTTCTAAAATATATCATGATTTATTTCTATTTAAAGAGAAGAATTAGCTATGCGTATTGATCTAACTGAAGCACGTGTTCAAGTATGGTTTCAAAATCGACGTGCTAAATGGCGTAAACGTGAAAAACTGAATCCACCAATAACATTATCAACTACATCAACACATATACATCCATTATTTACACCTCCAACAAGTCTTCTTACTCGTCTTAGTTCATTTTCTCAAGCAGAAATTTTATCATCATATTCATCACTTACATCATCATTTCTTAATGCAACTGCAGCATGTTTACCTATGTTTCCACCAATAACACCATTTTGGTCATCAACAAATCAATTTGGAATTACTTTTCTACAACACTTAGCACAATTAGCTTCAATATCTTGTGAAAATACAAAAGATCAAAATATTGATAAGAACAGTAATAACATATTAGAAAAACAAAATTCTGACAAAGAAGAAGATCATCGAATAAGTAGTAAAACTACATTACATCTTAATGCACTTGAATATACAAATAAAGAATCTGAATTATCATCGTCTACTACTAGTTTTTAATAGTCACGAAAAAGAAAAAAAAAAAAAAAGATAAGAAAAATAATTATTTCTTGTTTGTATGTTTTTTCTTTATAAAAATAAAACATATAGGTGTGAGAATAAATGAAATGATTTCCTATCATCAAATAAACAAACATATAGGTGTGTCTCGGCTTGTTCAACATAAAACATTTAAACTAATGATTGTTGATTTAAGACATATGATGTGTCAATTTAGTACATTCATTTAAATAAGCAGGTGTGTTGTTTCATTCATTTGTTAATTAGTATATGTATTATGAGACCAATGAAACATTAAATCTAGCAACAATGAACGTTAAAACATGATTAGTATACTATAGAGATATATAAATATTAATAAGTTATTAAGATTTTTTTTTTCTATAACTATGATGACATAATATGTTTAATATGCAGGTCAAATAGTTTTAGTATTTAATCGTAAAAATGTTCATATATAAATGAATCAATTGTGTTTTGTTTTATTTTGGTATGCTGTTGCTCATCACAGTGAGATTGTTTTGGAACATATTTTTTCACCATGCTTTTACTTAATCTTCTAAGTTCATAAATTATAACGAGACGTTAATGATATACGGTCTTTGATCACTTATAAGCAACGTCTACCATTCTCTCTGACGGAGAGAGAAGTGACATCGTCAAAACATCTGTCACGATCTGTGAAGGAGATGGATACAAATTTTTACCCTATGTACTTCAACACTTCTTTTAGATTGTCTGCCACAGAAACTTTACCTTGTTTATGAGGAGATGTTTTCAGTTGAGAAAAATAAAAAAATATTTCGGCAGAAAGAAGCAATTCCATCTGCTAAATCCACTACTGTAGCAAGAATATTTGTCTAAGAAATCAGTCAATGAAAGTATTAGAAATAAACAATTAGTGTAGATAGAATTGTTAATATTTTTTCAAAAATTCGAATCGAACTTATTCACATTAAAAAAAAAAAAGATATCAATTTAATTGAGAAATAAATTATTCATATTACTTTTTAATTTAATTCTATGGATCCGATGCATTTTGTACATTTCAATTCAAACGATTGTTCATATCTATATTTGACATCGAATTTTATTTTTTATAATTAGAATGAAAAATTCGAGAAAGAATTCATTATTAAATGTCAGGGATGGGCGAGTCCGAGTCAAAGCTCGGACTCGGAAATCGGATGATCTTGACTCGACTGTGTGACTCGAGTCATTCACTCGAAAAAATTTTCATTTGCTTTTATAAAAAAATCACAATATATCGAACTAAATTTTTTCTGATTC